TATGACTCTTTTGATAGCATTCGTTATTTTTTCCATCAAAACCTAATTTATTGACACTGATAGAAAAACTAACAGAAAACTTATAGAAGGGTCATATTACAACACTTTTGACACATTGAGAGTATAATATAAAAAATTTAATTTTTAATAATACAAAATAAGAATTATGAAGTGCGATTTATCAAAAAAAAAATCTAGATATTAGAGGTCCCCAAAAAAATTTGTGGGTCTAGTTAGGGGTGTTCAAATTTTTGATTAACCGTAATTTTCTACCCTACCCAATCTTACCAGACTCTATTGAACAAGTAGTCGAAAAAATCAGATAGAAATACAGAATAGTCAATAATTTTTGTATTTCTACACTACCATACCCGCATTAATTTATATATATAAAAACTAAAAATCCTAATTCCTTAATCATAGAGTTTAAACTTAAAATAATTGCTATTGTATTTGTGCATCAATTATGATGGATTGATATTTATGATATCTTGTATTTTATTGTAATTGTTGTTTTAATTATTTTAGGTTTTAATGTTATTGATTTATTGTGTTATTAAATTGATATATGTTATTTAATTAAATTATTTAAATAATTTAAAAATTAATAACTACAAAAATGTTCACTCGATTTTCTACCCGATTTACGATCCAATTAATTTAGCCAAACGTCGAACAGAAATATTACTTATATGATCGAGTTGGGTACAACAACAAAAAATTCAATAAAAAAAATATCAGGATGACATAAGACCATACGTCCTAGGGTAAACACCCACAGTTGGGTCAGACTTACCTTCTTCCTTGTAAAACCGTCGGAATTTTCCGCACAACGTTTGCGTTCCAAGAAAAAAAAATCCCAAAAGCGAACGTCTCCCACCAATACATGTGATATAGTCCCATTTCATACTTCGCCAAATCTCTCTCTCTAATTAGTTCTTTCTTTCTCTGAATAAATCTCTCAATCCTCAGCCGCGTGCTTAGAATGTCGAGTAGTTTTTTTACTTGTTGTGGGCCTTTAGTTTGTACAAATTGGGTCGACAATAGGGTTGTACTACCAAGAAGGATACCGATACGACATGGTTCAACGAAGTCTATGGTTTTTGGAGTGAGAGCTTCAATGGTGGACTCATACGAGAGCTCTTCCAACTTCATTAAACGCATGGAACGAGCCTGGTTGATCTCTCAGGTAACTACTTCTCTGGTGTCCTTTCTCAGATTCAATTCGAGGTTTCTCTTTATTTCGAATTTGTTTGGTTGCTAAGAAAACCCAAAACAAATCAAAGAAAAAGGAAAAAAAATATCATGAATTATTTGGAGAAATGAATTGACTGGTTTGGTTCAAAATTTGTTATTTTCTTTGTAGTCAATGGTGAGTAATCTCAAGTTTGATTATTGATAGATGAATGTATTGAAAGGAACTGAAAGTTTTGGAAGTGGGGTTGCTTTCCTTTGTTTGATGAGAATTGGGTTAGATGATAATTCGATGTGCTCTTTATTAATTTTGGTTCAGTGTAATTGTTATAGTTATTTCCAGATTGCGTGAAGAAAAGCTGATGAAATGGGAATAAAGTAAGAAATGTGAGCAAGTTTTTTTACCCCATTTTCAATGACGTCTGGAAGGCAAGAAGCCTGGGTGTCAAAAGTATGGGGCTAACAATAGGGGAATTGTGGGCGTCATTCTGGGGTCTCTCACGTTGTGCAACAAATGCGAAAGCTAGGTTCATACTCGGTCCACTCCTTTAAGCAACATCGAATAATTGAGACTAAATTAGATAATGACCTGTTTTCCATGAGCTTATAGATCATTGTAGTTGTAACGTGGGTTTTAGTGAACCAGGATCAGAATCTGCAGTTCCTATGAAACTAGTCAGTGTACCATAAAATCTCAGATCCACTTGATGCAGTTTGAACTTCACTCATAACAATGCCTGTGATCCTGGACCTTTATTCTTATTAAGACTTGGTGAACATTGCTAATCTCTTCTTCATTATTGGATTTTACAATTCAACATAACTGTCTCTATGTTCAATGTATCTCTATGACAACCATTAACTTGAGGTGTGATACACTCATTCTAATATTGTAGTTCGGGAAATTTTCATTGGACTCTGAATTGTTGGTTTACGCTTCATTTTTGAAGTGGGTATTGGTGAGAAGTCTTAGTTCTACCGTCTCCCACTCATTGAAAGAAGTTTAGGGACTTATCATCCTCTTTTATTAGTTATGGCCCCATTGCCATTTCCACATATATTTTTTCCCGAGAGGTCCAAACTCTGCCCATGCTTTTTATTGTCTTAGTAGTGCTCCTCTTTTGATTTCTCCTCTCGTATCCATCCATTAGCAACTGTCAAAGTTCCTTTTTTTTTCAAGGGAAACAAACCTTCCCAATATTTTGCAGTATCCTTATGGACTAGGATACATTGATCTAAGCATCCCCACGTCATCCCGCTTGACTTTGACAAAAGGCTTTGTGTTTGGGTTTGGGCAGGTTGACCTAAATAGACTAGGAGATATTAAGTTGAAATGAGGGCTATAGTAGGTTTAGGAGTGCTTTTTCATTGGTTTATGGTATTCATAGAATGGATCATCAAAAGTAATCACTTGTCGAGAATATAGATGGAATCGTGCACTGTAAAAAGAATTGTTGATTTGTAGAACATGAGGAAGCGCCTTTACTTATATATTAGTAAAACAAGCTAGCTGCAATATATTAGTAAAACAAGCTAGTTGCAATCTTTTAAAGTAATCAAAATTGCAAGAGCTAATTAAGTTGTTGGCACCTTATTTCTTGTTATCGACTACTTTCAATTTATATTGTCATAAGTGAAACTAAAATCTCTCCTCCAAAGAGACTTTTGATATTGGTATGGGAAGTATAAAGCTTTTCTCCAACTGCTTCTTTGAGTGTAGTGCTATTGAACAGGGTTACTAGAATTTGTTTGAAAGCCTATGAACCCTAGTTTGGGTCGGACGACCCTAAACGGAGGTCGTTCGCAACTTGGATCGCTCATGTCTCCGACCCCAGGTGTCTATCCAATCTCTAAATCAAAACCCAAACCCCAAATGTAAACCTACCCTAAGAAATTGCATAGATTAGATTATTAGAGGGCAAATCAAGTGATACATACATAATGGATCCCACACAATCTTTTAGATCGTAGACTACCATTGATCGTATCCTTGTGCATATTGCTTCTCGTCGTAGATGGCTTTGGAGGGCTTTCTTCTGAGATGGGGATGTCATTTGTTGGGAATCAGACAGTCATTGGACGCTTTCATATGTGATAGGTTGCCCGCTAAGATGGCTTTCTTCTGAGACACGTCTCTCTCTCTCTCTCCCCAAATCACGTGTGGTCTAGGATATTTGACGTAATTTGGTGGACTTATATGACCTAGTGGATATTAGTTTGGGTAAAAAGACAAAAACAGCCCTCTAATGACATGATAACATACTTTGGTAAAAGAAATTAAAAAAGTCAAAACAATATTTAAGTTATATTAATTAGGTAGTTGTCTTTGCACATCTAAACCTGTTATTGTGGGTCCTTATTTGCCTAGAAACTCATAAAAAAAATACAAAATAAAAATTAATTAAATGATTGTTATGCATATATAAATAAAATAAGAATTTACAAACTGTTATGGGTTTAAAACAATTGGCAACTGATTATGTGTATAATGCATAACTATATATAATTTTTTGTAATAATGAAAACGATCTCGATAAGAGTCTAAAGTGGCTGCAACCCAAAATAACATACCAACTAAGCCGACCCTCAGTGCACCGGAACTAGGGAAAGTATATCCTTACCCGTACTACGTAACAAATTGATCCGCGATCCTGGTAACCCTGCTATTGAACCTCTTTAGAATCACTCCCTCATTAGGATTTGTAGATGCTTGCTGGCTTGATGTTGGGTCCAAGGTAAGGATCAAAATTTCGTTTCGGTGCATTATTTCAATTCTCTTAAAAACGAAAATGTTTTTACTTGTTTCGGAAATAAAATAAAAAAAATATATATTGAAGAATTATTTTTTCAAAATATTAGTTGAAATATATCAAAGTATCTTGAAGTATCATGAAACATTCTAAAATAATTGTGCAAATGTATTGAAACATTACAAAATACGTCGAAATATTATGAAACATCTCGAAGTATTAGAATTTCGATTTTATCACTGATTCGTTTCAGTCTCCTTAGAAACAGAAACGTTTCGACTTTCGAAACGAAATTTTGATCTTTGGTCCAAGGCTTCTTTTATCTAGAGTCCTATGTATATTACTGTTTCCACCTTTAAATGCCATCCTTTAGTATCTCATTTACCAACCTAATAGGTATACTAAATTTGCAGCAAATCTGAGAGAAGGTGTGAAGGATACGAATATATGACATTACAGTCCTATATTTTTTCCTGCATATGTTCATTTGTTAAAGTGATAAATATGAGCATTGATTTTCTAGAATATGTTCTATAAGTGAGTTGCCCAATATGGAAGATGATGCTATTACTCTTTGCCTTCCTTTTATTTATTTTTTGGGTAAATTTCGGTATCAGTTTCAGAAAAGAAGAAAAAAACAGTTATGGTTTGACCATAATTCGGAATGCAAGGGTCCAGAAAAAAAGTGGAATTTCCCAAAGATTTGGTAAATCAGTGCAACACTTAAGCAGTTGTTTAAGAAAACTTTCAAGCTTTGAAAAGTTATGAGATTTTGGAGTCTTTAATAGGGTCTCTTCTGTCGCATCTGTGTAAACTGTCGGTTGCTTGCTTCTGGAGTGCAGAGGATCAAGTTAAATGGTGGTTGTTTTGGCAAATTTGGTTTTCTAGATAGATTATTATCAACATGGGTCCTGGTTTTATCTGTTGGCCATCCTACTCTTTTGTTGTGCCCTCTTCTGTTGCTTTTACTAGTCGATTCTCGTTGTATAAAAGAAATGCATAAATGCAATATTGGCTGAATGAGGATGGGATGGATGTAGAGGGGGGAGGCGGAAGATGGGGGGAGATGATATCAGGTGTCTTATCCCCTCTGACACCATATAGCCATTTGTGGGACCCTTAAGTAGTTATGGTATTTTTCTTTTCTTGTATCCTAAGACAAAATAAATTGACATTTACATGTCATGAGTTTGCAAATTTGCTAAATGCGCAGAGTTAGCATCTTGAATTTATGATATTTGCTTCGTCTAATGCCTTTATGTTTTGGTGTACTACCTAGTTAAATCTAACTATGTCAAATTTTGAAGTATGGCTGTCATTCCTTCTATCTCAATTTATTAATTGGTCAAGTTCTAGATTATTTTTTTCCCGGTCAGTTCTAGTCTTTTACACATTTTATTGAGGGGTAAAAGCAGGAGCAAAAATATGCATTATGATGTAAGGAAGGAATGATGGTATAGAATGACGTATTAGGAAATTGATGGAGCAAAGGTGGTGTTAAATGTTAAAACTCATGTTATCTTCGATCTACCATCCCATTAGGGTTGGGGAATAAAGAGAACATGTTGTAATATTTGAGTAGGTAGGTGAAGCAGAGGTGGTCTTTGGGTTGTTATATCACTGACGTGCAACATCAAAGGACAATTTTTATAAAATGCCTTTGATGATAGTCGTAGTTTTACAATATAAGGGATTGGCCATTTGAGAACAATATACTCATACTTGGCATCAGCAAACTCTGGGTATTGAGACCAGTATGTGAAGTCATGGGGACCAATTGTAGAATTCTGTATTTTTAATTTTATGTTGTTTTTATTTTAATCTTTCCATGTTGTTGGCATGCAGCAACCACGGCCTGTTGCCTGTTCTTCTTGTGACTCAAATGGACATGTTGATTGCAAATGGTGTGGGGGCACGGGTTTCTTCTTTCTTGGTGATAACATGCTATGCCAAGTCCCTTCCAGAAACACGACCTGTGTTATTTGTGCTGGAAAGGTAATTTACATATGAGATCCTTTGTAGTCAATTCATGCTGAAGCACTCTGACATATTTCGACATTACAGTCCTTACTCTTTGAATACTGAAATTCCCTGGTGATGTTTCTCCCAGGGATCAAGATGTTGCTCCGATTGCAAGGGAACAGGCTATCGTGCAAAGTGGTTGGAAGAACCTCCAATTTCCAAGTAGTGTCAATTCATAGTTGATAAAAAGGATGCAAAAATGAAAGCTGCTGCTATTTTTCAGATTGGTCTTGATCTCCACTTTGATGTCTAATTTAATGTTCGAGGTTGTAGCTTTGGCTCTTCTATCCTCATACTGCAAAGCACTATGAATGATTTATACATCTTTATTTGTTTACAATTTAGAATAAATATAATTCCATTGTTTTACAAATCTTCTCGTTTCTTGTTGGATTGTCTCTACCACATCATTCAGTGTTTGGTTCTTGATTGACGAATTGATTGCACTTCAACTTATAATTGTGTGGAGATGATTCATCAGCAAATGAAAAGGCACTCCGACTGTACTGCTGTGTTACTGGACGATTCCAGGGTCTTGAGGAATCTTCTTTGTGACTCGAGATCTTAGCCGTAGCCGAAGCTGAAGAAATGTATTGTAGTTACGCATTAATCCTGGCTTCAGCTTATCAATTGTCTTGGAGATGGTCTCGATGATATCTATTGTCTTCTTTGTGATGGTCTTGTAGCAGAACAAATTCAAGTGAAGCTAGCTTCGTGTCTAATTCCACCACAGTAGGCATTGTCTCCATGGAAATTTCAGCCGAGTGTGCTTGTCTACAAAAGACCATCACCGGATGATCTGTAAAAGTTCATCCTTTCTTAAGATCAATATTGGCCAGCCAGTTGGAAGCTACCTCTGCACAAGACGTGTGTGTGTGTGTGTGTGTGCGCGTGCACACTTTATACTTGAATAAAGATACATCCCCAACATAATAACTTTACCGTTCAAAGGTCAGCAAGAATTAAGAAATTATTACACAATCCTACTTTTTTTACTAATACGGGATGGCTGAATGAGTTTAAGCACAATCAAGCCTAGAGCATATGGATGAACCCTAGTCAAGCTTCAGGTGTAACCAAGATACCATCATGGGCACTTTTTTTCCTTAAAAGAAGAACCACCTCAACCACAAGCCTTTTATACTCATAGCTACTATGTAAACTCAGAATATGTGCAAGCATCCACCAACCACACTCATGCATCAGGTCTATCAAGACATCTCTTATGAGTTCAAAATTCTAATACCCGAAATCCTACCATCCGATATACAGATTATGTTTAAACGAAATAGTTTGGTGCTTAACTGCCTTCAAAGTTCAAGCCAACACTTGTCAGATAAAAAATTGAAATCTGATGGAACTAGGGAGAAACACCGATGCTAATGCTGCTTTACTGCCAGATGCATGTTCATGTTCATTTCTCCACTACACAATTACTTGAAGACCAAAAATTGTATTTTTGTCGGGTATTGTAGATAGGCAAAGATTGAACAAATGCAAAGACATTACAATAAATTCTCCAAAATCTATCAGCATACACCAGCACTAATTCTAAGTGATCGTCCTTCCAAATTAAGGACATCAATTTCATACCCATGTATTGTTAAAATATTTTGCTTAGGTGCCTTGAACAATTGCTGAGAATAGCATCTGGTTGATATCCTCAGAGCCAGAGTCAGGCCTTTCATCCTCTGCATCATGAATAAAATTTATTTAGAAAGGATGCAAATAAGATATTATATTCTAATTCCTTGGTAATTTTCCAGTCACCACAACTTCTAAAAGCTAAAACAGTTTGAAACATTAAGCAGATGGTTATACCAAAACACGGATCATTAAAGGGTGGAGCTATTCCCACCCCTGAAATATCCATTCCCATCCCATTTGTACACCCCCACTAAAAATTGGCTATTTCTTTGTGCACCCCATTTCTAAGCCCATCCCACCCCCACATATTTCAAGCTCCCGTCCATTCACCATAACCATGGTATTTCTCATTGGTGCTCATTATCCTCCAAGTGTAGAGTTGTAGCACTTCTTTCACTCCAATTTTTGTGTCCGCCAATTTACAAAAACACCTCTTTCACATTGCTGGCATCGTTTTCAACTAGTAATGCCAACTGATAAAGGTGTTTTGACACAATACCAGTACCATTATCAAATGGGTTGTTATTTTATTATCATTATTGTATTGATAATGGTAATAATTCGTGGTGGAAGAGAAAGGTGTTGCATCTGCAAAGGAGATTCTAGTGGAGCTGAACGGGAAACATCAGGAAGTAGTTACAAGGTACCAAAGCACAGCAACCACTTATTGGATATGTGTTAGTTCTTTTCAAAAAAAAAGTTCACAATCGAAGTGTGCAACCAATAGAGAAAAAGCCTCAATCATATCAATCTTATCAAATTTACACCAAATAACGTTGACTAATGGTGGGGAATTGAGAGGCTGTGATGATAGTGTAGAAAAAGAGAAGAGGCGAAGATCTGATTGTAAGATTTTTTTCTGCAGAAATAAATTAGAGAGAGTTTTGGAGCTGAGATGAAGAATGTTGGGTGATAAGGGAAATATGAGATGCGTAGGGTAAAGAATGGGGTGGGAATAGTAACTCTGTTTTCACTGATATTACAAAGCTAAATGGGCTGGGGAAGTATATTTTAGGGGAGGGAATAGTCCCAGCCATCATTAAAATGCAGTTGGAGTAAGGAAGTAAACGGAACGATGGCTTCAGATTCTAGACTTGATGAGACTATGAGTTGTGAAGAGAAACTCAAGCAACTGCAACGCATTCTTGCCAACATATGCTTCCCACATTTCAGTAGTTTATACAACTTCTCTTTGAAATCAAAACCAAGAAGAAAGACTTGAGCCCGTGTAATTTCTACTAACATACAGCACATCTGAGATCATGTTCCTCTCCCTTCTCACCAAGTAAAATGAAAAAAGTATATTTTGAAAAGAGCGTGTAACCCACATCAAAATAGGGCCCCCCAAAGTTCATTATATAGTTAAGGGACCTTTCCACCCATTGCTAGTTAGTGCTTGGTTATATGCCTCTAACACATGCCACCTTTGTGTATTAACGGGTAATATTATAAAAAATAAACTATAAAAGACCAGGCAAAAAGTTTCAAAATACTTTACCTGCCCTAAATCTGACTTGTGCAGTCCATTCGTCAATGATCTGCATATCATGAGTCAAATATCAAAAGTTCAGCTATATATTCTTCTAAAAAAGCGTGTTAAGACAATAAGAGAAAGATATGTAGCGAGGCTAAAATCCATAAACTTAGTAAGCAGCACGGAACACCAAAGGAGAACACTTATGCCTTGGTGATCACTGATGGAAAACCTCGCCATTGGTTCAATATTGGTTGCTTGCTGGCAAATGGTGCAAACTTTTAGACACCACTTGGAAATAGACAACCTTCCAGAGTTGTAAGCTAATTATAAAAAGAAATATGCTAGGGTAATATGAAGGACTATAACAAGTCTAATTTGTCCCTGAACAGATATACCACTCATTTCTTCACTTTTCTTTCTTCTTTTGGGAAAATCAGCATATAATGTAGATCAAAAATGAATTTACCACAATTTCGAAGACGGTTACGCAAAATTCATAGGAAAAAAAAAACACATCAACTTTTAATAGCTTTAGTGACAATAAAACATTCAAGAAGGACAAATTAGGGGAAAAAGGGGAGTTTCCTGTCAAATACTTGTAATTGGTTTTCCATCTGAACAATTATAGGATTTTCAAATGAAGTATGCACGATAGCACAAGAAGGAATTCGCATTACTGTAAGTTAGAGTTTTATTGAGTGTTCAGATTTTTATGCCCTCATATGATTCAGAACAAAATATGATACCTGGTTGAAGCTTGTGAATGCAGGATCATCAGAATCACTGGTGACAGGGACACCAGTGGACGCTTGCAACCGCTGCAATAATGTTCTGTTCCCTACCAGAGTTGTTCTGGCCTTGTCTATCAAATCCTGCAAGTGAAATTGAAGAAAAAGATTTGAAGGCAACTTAATTGAAACATGATCACCAATCACATCAGAATAAGTCGAATGAGACTGCAATATGTCCTCTCTGTTCAACAGGCCAATTTCGAATACATAATGTCGTTAGCTGATGGCAGTGATTCAACAAAATTTAAGAAACTATTTTCAAAACCATAAAATCCAACAAGCCTGGCCCTGATTCATACAGTTAAACATCCAGCAGAACATATTGGCAAAGTGATTTGTTTACATATTTATACAGGAGTCAGGACATGAAAGAGAGGAATTAAATTTGGATTCTTTCACTTGTGAATGTAATTATGAGGAGGACCATTCCCATCAATTTTCCAATCAAATCTGGAAACTCACCTGTGCAATATTTTGCATTTCCAGCATCTCAAAGTACCCATGATCCTCTCTCTCCTGGTTTGGCAGCTGGAGCTTTGTGAAACTTTTTGCAAGCTTCTCGTCAAACTATACCCCAAAATCATAACCCTTCAACTACAACATTGTACAATCTTAATTGGACACAATCCAAGGGCCTAATAATGCATCAATATCTCTTTTTCATATCATCTGGTCCCATACCATCCATCTTTCCCTTACCATCTTCAATCATTCTGCTCCATCCACATTTCCCAAAGCACAAAACCAACATTCACAATTTGTTTCCTAATCATGCTCCTTTCCTTCGAACAGCAAAACTATTGTGTCAATGGCCACAAGAGTACTCTCCTCAGTTTCCTTATCTGAAGTATATGCCTTTTCTATGTCCTTAGCTTAGTAAAGCATTTTCTTTAAGAGTCAGAGCAGTACAACCTTCCAGGCAGATTTACTTCCTCAACATCAATACCAAAACGTTTTTATACAAGAATGATTTACTTGTTTCCAGTTAAAGTGGGGTGGTGAACATTAAGGGTTTTTTTAATGAATAGAAGTGTGTACACTGTTGGCCGAAGCCTTCTCCTTCATGTTCCATAAGGTGGTGAAGATTGTGTTTTAGAGTCCCATAATGCCTTTTAAGTAATGGACAGAGATTCCATATGCAGTTTTGGTAGCCAATAACTGCATTGTTTAGAAACTGATAGTGCTACCAGGGGTTATGTGTGGTCTAGAAATCTCTTGACCACGTGATCAGGGGTTCCCCCTCTTACATGCTCAAGAGGGTGGGTTTTGGGGCTACATGGACGAGATGATGGAGGATTGTGTTTCTGCTATAGAATTTCAGTATTGATGTTCTCTTCTAGATTAATGGGGTGCCCATTGCAGCATCACAATGTCAATGTGAATTGGGATCACATAGTTGAGACTTACGGGGATGGTACAGGTTGAAAAGGGAATCTTTGTCTGAAAGGGGAAAGGTGACCCTTATCTTGGCTATTCTTCCAACCTGTTATGTGTCGACTTAGTATCCAACATTAATGGAGAAAAGACACTTCTTAGGAGTGTAGAGCAGAAAGAATTCAAATATGATCTGGTTGATCAGAAAAAAAAATGCCAACTATAATGGAAAGGTGGATTTGGAATTAAGAAGCTGAGGCTGTTCATTCAAGTTGTTACAGAAAAATGGCCATAACTGTATGCGTGCCTTTGGATGAGGTTACTGATTGAAGCATGGCAGAGACCAGTGAGGGAGGATCGGAAAATTAGACAGGATGACCCGCACCCCACTCCCCTATCCTCTGGGTTGCACGGATCATGAAAATGAGGCCTTGAAAAAAGCATTTGGAAAGAGTGGGGGTGTTGGCAGAGCAGGAGGAAGGATGGGAAAGTTCTAAAGACCCTTCTGGCTGAAAATAATTACTTCATGATTCAGACTTGTTATAATTACATGCCTGTGCTTTTTAACTTGACCATAATGGTAAAAACCCTCATTCCCAACTTTTAAGATGGCTTCCGTCAGGGATAGTTTTGTTAAGGAAAGCGAGACCCAGGCTGAGGGAATGTTTCCACCTGAAAGGTTTGTCTCCATGGAACAAGTAGTCAGTACAGCTTACAGCCTAAGGTCTCGCTATTTTTTGTTTGCATTCAATGGTGTTGTACATGCGCTATCAAGTAAATATATTGATATGCGTCAACTTAATCAAATTCGCCCATTATTTCTTTATGGTTTACTTACCCACTGTATGTTGATATGGCTAGTTGTCACTGTATGCAAATATCAATCAGTGACAGTTCTGAAACTTACTGATTCAATCTTTAATTGATCAATTATAAATGGTTTCATCATCTATCGATTTTTATGCCCTCTCCAACACTACAAGCTTAAGCCACAACTCTAGTCAAACACCAGGTTCAGGACAAAAATGGGATACTCGAACTATATTCTTCCTTAAAAAAGCTCTGGATAGACCACGGTCAATTTTCTTATTTCAAAATAAGTAAATTTGGGTAGACAATTCACACTTATCATATAGAATAGTCTCACCATGTATCCTCCCCCACATCGTGTATTGGCCTTTCACACCACAGCTTCAACATAGTTTGTAAGAACTCAACCCATTTGGTGAAAAACAATGACAACATTATAAGCTGTAATCGCAACAGGAAATTTTGTACCATTGTGCCTTTCACTATACATGTTTTGAAAATAAGATGTGGCATAGACGTCTAGGCCACCCGAACTCTGATGTACTTCGCACTTTGTTTAATTCTGGATTATTGGGAAATAAAGCATGTTCTTCTCTTGATCTATCTTTTGATTGTACATCATGCAAACTTGGCAAAAATAAAGTTCTACCTTTTCCTCATCATGCATCTCGTGCCTCACAATGTTTCGATATTATTCACAGTGATGTTTGGGGGATTGCATCTGTTGTTTCCCATGCGCATTACAAGTATTTTGTTACTTTCATTGATGACTTTAGTTGCTTTACTTGGGTTTACTTCCTCCGAGCTAAGGCCGAAGTTTTTTTAGTCTTTAAGTGATTTCTTGCACTTCTTGAGACTCAATTCTCTGCCAGCATCAAGGTCTTGTGCTCTGATTCTGGCGGCGAATACATGTCTAATGAGTTTCAGGACTTTCTTCAAAGCAAAGGGATCATCTCTCAGCGTTCTTGTCCTTCGACACCACAACAAAACAGTGTTGCTGAGAAGAAAAATCATCACCTTCTTGATGTGGTAAGAACTCTTTTACTTGAATCATTTGTTCCTCCTTGTTTTTCGTGTGAAGCACTTTCTACTTCAATTCATTTGATCAATTGATTACCCTCTCCTACGTTAAATCATGTTTCTCCTTTCTTTAAGTTGTTTGGTCATTCTCCTTTATATTCTAATCTCCGTACATTTGGTTGTGTTTGTTTTGTGCATCTCCCTGCTCATGAACGACATAAACTTACTATTCAGTCTGTTAAGTGTGTTTTTCTTGGTTATGCTATCTCTCAAAAGGGTTATGTTTGTTATGATCCCCATACTCGTCGTATACAGGTTTCTAGGAATGTGATTTTATTTGAAAATCAATATTTCTTTCTATCTCATGTTGAGCTATCATCTGCATCTTTATCTCTTCTGCCTAGTTTTTTTGATTCCCCAATAATTGTGAAAAGGTTCAAACCTGGTTATGTGTATGAAAGACATCGTCGACATGAGTCTGGTTCCACTTCCTCTGTGCCCTCTTCCGATCTTGATCTGACGCCTGATCTTGCTCCTACTTCCACCACTCTTCGTCGGTCTACTCAAATTTCTCGACCCCTTGATTGGTATGGATTCTTCTCCACTGTCTCTCTTGTCGCTACTTTATCCATTATTTCCATTCCCTTTTGCTACAAAAAGGCCATAGAACATGAGTGTTGGCAAAATGCAATACAAGCAGAACTTCAAGCACTTGAGGAAAATCACACTTGGGGATATTATTCCTTGTCCTCCTACAGTCAAACTTATTGGGAGTAAATGGGTTTTCTCTATAAAACTTTGTTCTGATGGCTCTTTGGACCGGTACAAGGCTCACCTCGTAGCTCTGGGTAACAAACAGGAATATAGGGTTGATTATGAGGAGACATTTGCTCCTGTTGCCAAAATGACCACGGTTCGAACCATCTTAGTTATTGCCGCTTCACAGTCGTGGCAACTACATCAGATGGATATGAAGAATGCCTTTCTTCATGGTGATCTCCAGGAAGAGATTTACACGAAGCTTCCCTCGAGTATGACTACTTCTTCTCCTCATGATGTCTTTGAGCTAAGGCGTTCTTTGTATGGGCTCAAGCTGGTGCCTCGGGCTTGGTTTGAGAAGTTTCGCAGTATATTTCTTTCCTTTAGTTTTACACAAAGTCAGTATGATTCTTCTCTCTTCTTCCACACGTCTGTGTCGGGAATAGTCCTTCTCTTAGTTTATGTGGATAATATTATCATTATTGGCACAGACTGTGATTTGATTACTAAGCGTTAGCAGTTGTTACATGCAACTTTCCATATGAAAGATCTTGGCCAGCTCACATACTTCTTAGGATTATAAGTTCATCATCGGGCCAATGGTATTTTCGTGAACTAGCATAAGTATATTCAAGATCTTATCACTTTGGCTAGTTTGGAGGACACTTCTTCTGTTGATACTCCTATGGAGGTAAATGTCAAATACAGGAAAGATGAAGGGGACCTTCTAGATGATCCTACTCATTATCAACGTCTGGTTGGGAGTCTTATCTACTTGACCACTACTCGACCTGATATCTCCTATGTTGTTCATCAGGTCAGTCAATTTATGTCTTCTCCTCAGCATCTCCATCTTGCTGCAATTCGACGTATCATCCGCTATCTTCAAGGTTCACCTACTCGTGGGTTGTTCTTTCCTACTGGCTCCTCTCTTCAACTTGTTGCCTATAGTGATGCTGATTGGGCTGGGTGTCCGGATACCCGTCGATCTACTACGGGTTGGTGTATGTTTTTTAGGTGATGCCTTAATTTCTTGGAAATGTAAGAAACAAGATCGTGTTTCTAAATCCTCTACTGAGGCCGAGTATCGTGCCATGTCTACTGGTTGTTCTAAAATTGTATGGTTACGCGGTCTTCTTGAGAAGCTTGGGTTTCCTCAGACCACTCCTACCCCTCTTCATGCTAATAACACTAATGCTATTCAAATTGCAACCAATCCCGTTTTCCATGAACGCACCAAACATATTGAGAATAATTGTCATTCTATTCAAGACACCTTGGAAAGTCGGGTGATATCTCTTCCTCAGATATCTTCTGATCTCCAAGTGGCTGATGTCTTCGCCAAAGCTATGACTCGACAGCGGCATCAATTTCTTGTTGGCAAATTGGTGCTGGTTGACTTACCAGCGTCAATTTGAGGGGGGATGTTACCGCATACAATTTTAGGAATTTATATAATTTAGGACTCTGTTAATATTAGCTGTAAAAATTATCTTACCATGTATAGATGCTGAATATTAGGAATCAGTTAGATGCCGTGTATAGAATATATTTTTGTGTATAGATGGAACTGATATAAAAATGAAAGGGGAGAACTCATAGAGGTAAATTTTTCCAAAGAATTTCTCTGTTTTCTTTAATTTGACACTCATAGTTTTAACATTTACCTGGTGGTTTAGTGCAAAAGTTAATATTACCAGGAAGTGGTTTGTAACTGATCCTAAGTACAGGGCATTGTTTTGTTATTAATTCTTTACCTTTCATCATTTTCTTACATTTTCTCAACAGCCAACGAGGGGGTAATTGTACAATAACACCAGAACTCTAGAAAATGTAACCATACATCTACCTGTTTGGCTGCGAGTAGTTCGCGGCACTGCTCTTTCATAGATGACAATTCTTCTTGAACTTTCTTGATCCGAGACACAAGCTTCATCGGATTTGCCTGCGAAACAAACAAACAAACAAACAATTCACATGCCACAATGAAGAAAAGATCAAACAGATAAAAGAAAAGAATTGTGCATGAAGATTTGGGTTTGTGGGTCTTTTTTAAGTTACACTGTCAGGGTAGATTTGTTGGAACTCCTTTTCGAGTTTGTGCTGAATCACTGTGAGGTCATGGTTACCCTTTGTAAAGAGATTCACCAGACCGTCCACTGATTGATGGTGCTGGGTTTCAGGGAGATGATGATGATGACGATGCCCCATTCTCTAATTGAGCTCTCTCTCTCTCTCTCTCTTGGAAGGAAGAGGAGGGGAAGAGGGGAATGGAAAATGTTTAAAATATTTTGATTCGGGACCCCTTAAATTTCAAATTTTCATTAGGTCAAATTATACTTTGACCACTTTAATTATAAACTCAATTTCATTTTGAATCTTGAACTATTAAATTTTTTATATTTCCCTCTCAACTACTAGAATTATTGCACATTGTCCCAAATGCAAACATTTGCTATCTTTTTAGAGAAAAATTATCAACATGTCAAGGGCAAAGTGCAAAAAAAATCACATAATTTAGAGAATAAAATAAAATAATTTTTTATCAAATTTATAGCAGATATTAATAATTTGGGTATTGTGAAATTAATCTCATAGTTAAGAGTATAATATAAAAAAAATGGAAGTTGAAACGAAAATGTGAGAAATAATCATAATTTAAGAGATTAAAGTGTAATTTTTCCTTTCACTTAAATGTTAAATTTAGATTATAATCGATCAACATAAATACCATGTGTTTTTCCATTATCATTGGTGATTTGTTATCTGTTCATATTTGACAGTATCATCTAATGGTCTTATAAGTGTATTCAGACGGTGGTCAATTGTCATTAGACTATTGATCACGTATATTTGGAGAGAAAATAAATTGAAAATTATGACCAAAATAATTTAGAGAATACAAAAATAAGTCGAATACAAAAGTAAGTCCATTGGGAACACTTTGATGTATTTTATAAATTGACAAGGGTTACCAAGGCAGCCACTCAACACCCATCACAACTGTTGACGACGGTTGTGTGCTGCCCTTCTTGAATCGCCACTAACTGTTGTCGTTTGAATTATCTTTCTCTCTCTTTGTGTGCACAAAAAAACGTCACTAATGTCCATTAATCCACCGTCTTAGAGCTCCCACTTGAATGTACATGGACATGACTTGAGAGTTTTCTAAGTTGGTATTTACCTTCGATGCCAAAACTTTGACTTTCACCAACTTTTTATCTATAACCATTTACAAATTTAATGTTGGAACATGACGACTACGCACATTTTTACCATCGAATTTGACCGCACTCTTCTACATATGATCCTCATCGGTAGCACACTTCTGTTGACTTCGATTCACTCCATAACAAAAGTGATGGGCATTAATGCTCTATACTAGGGGTTATAAGATCCACACACTTAGTATCATTGGCAACTTCAACCAAACACAAATTTAACAAATGTGTTGGCCTACACTTGAAATTTCGATCAAGTACTTCCTCTTATACTCATACAGAGGCTTTCCTCGATACACCTTATCGACGACTTAATATACCATGCACCTAGGTGTTTATGTAAAGATTTCATAATGCCTCAAAGTGGGATTTATACTCATGAGCATGTGATAGCTTTGGTTTTTCAATTGGTGTCTTCTACCTTTTATCCGACTAATTCTTATCCTTAATCAGATGGAATCACATCTTTCTATAAAATTTAGGCATTCCCGAAATTTCTCTAAATATGTCATTCACCATGTAACACTGCAACACCTAGATGATTCCAAACTCATTGCAGTTACATGCTCACTGAATTTTTCCAAATTCAACCCTTTTGTCATAGGGTCAACCACCATCTCCCCCAAGGGGATATAATAGACCTTTATTTCTCCACTATATCTTAAATATGGTGATAATTACATCAATGTGTTTTTCTTTAGAGTTGTTAGCTCCACTTTTTATTAAAGATATAACGGACTTATTGTCACAAAACACATTGACCGGCCTATGAAGTATACCTAATTTTAAACTATCAACAAAGCGTTTTATCCAAACAACCATACTTACTGTCGTACTGCACGCTATGTATTTGGCCTTCATGGTGTACTTTGCAATACAACCCTATTTCTTTATTAACCAAGAAACAACCATTCCACCAAATAAGAATATATAGCCACTTGTAAATTTTTTATCTTCTACATCATCTGCAAAGTCTACATCTGTGTATCAAATAACTTCTAGATTGTTTAATCTAAAAAATAATTGCATACCTGTCGTGCCTCTCAAGTATCCAAATATTCACTTCACTACCTGCCAATGTGCCCTTAGATTGGATTAATACCTACTTATCAATCATATTGTATGACAAATGTCTGACCTTGTACTTGTCATAGTATACATAAGGCTATCCACAACTTAGGCTTAAGGGACCTTAATTATTTTCATTTGAACTAGGGTACATACATTTACTTAGACTTTGACCCACGCAAACAGGAGTGCTCAATGTCTTACAAGTATCCATACCGATTCTTTTGAACACCTTTTTCATATACTTTTTTTATTCAAATATAAGAGTAGAATTTATATATCTAGAAATTATAATTCTTAGGACATAATTAGCCCTCCTATGTTCTTCATTTTGAATTTGGATACCATGAACACTTTGGTTTCTTTTATCATATTTGCAAAATTTTCCTGACAATACAAAATTGTCTATAAAGAGCAACAAAATAGTTAGTTTATCATGGTGTTTCCTAACATATACAAAATGAACTAAAACACTTACTTCGAATCCTATTTCAAGAATTATCTGGTAGAACTTTAATACATATTCCCTATAGGATTGTTTGAGTTCATAGAGGGATCTTTTTAATTTGTAGACTTTGTTTTTCATGTCATCTTCACATCTAAGATGTAACTCAAGATTCATCTTTGCCACAATTGACATGAGTATCTTGATTGAATCTATTCCAAGTTTTTGAGTAAACCCTTTAGCCACCAATTTTGTTTTATACTTATCTAATGACTCATCTATTTTCAACTTTTTTTAAAGACCTACTTGTAACCAATGGTTTTCCTCTGTTCAGGAAGATCCACTAAATCCCAAACTTCATTTTTGTTAATTGAATCAACCTCCTTTTCATAGCTTGAAGTCATTGATTTGCATAGCTACTATTGACTGCCTCCATAAAGTCCTTAAGATCTCTTCTAACATTTTGTTTTCATCTAGACTAAAGACAAAATGATCCTTTAGTTTTTGAGATTGTACTCTCTTCTTTTTACTCCCACTATTCTCAACCTATGGACCTTGTTCACCTTGGTCATCTATTATTTTCTAATCATTGATATTATCAACAAGACTTGTAATACCATTATGCACATCATCAAACAATTTGACTTGATCAATGTGATTTTTTAAATGGTAGACTCAATAAGAATAGCATCTCTGCTTTCAATCAATCCCTTATTCGAATGAAATAATCTATATCTAATTCCATTCTCAACATATCCTATGAATTCACATTTCCAAGTCTTTGATCCTAACTTAGCTCTAAGAGGCTTCAGAATAAGAATAAGTGCTTTGCACCCCTAAACATTAAATTTAGATACATCAAGCTTTGTTCCAATCCAATATTCATAAGCGGTCAGTGGTTTTGCCTCTGTCTTGATCAATTTAAAGTATAAGTTGTAGTAGATAAGGCTTCTTCCCAAAAATATACAAAAAGATTAACATCATGGACCTTGTCATATCCAATATAGTCCTATTATGCCTTTCTGCAAGGCATGGTATATACATGTCTTATACAATTCTCTTTGAAGAATTCGTCAAATGCTTCAAATTCATCACCCCTATCATTATTCAATGCTTTAATTGGTCTACCCAATTGTGTTTCTACTTTCCTTTTATACTCGTTGAATCTTTCAAGAGCATCAAACTTATGTTTAATTATATAGATGTGACTAAGCCTTGAAGAATCATCAGTAAATGTTACGAAGTATTTCATTCCTCTATGACCTGTTGTTCTTTAGGATCCACATAATCTAAATGTACAACCTTTAACAAATCCAAAGACTTCCAATGTTTTGCAAAGGTTTTCTAGCCATTTTTCCTTTAACACATGACTCACAGATATGAAAGTCTATTGTATTGATTTGAGGTATAAGGTCTAATCTACTCATTATGAGCATCTAGTCTGTATTGATGTGACCTAATCTTAAATACCATAAATATGAATTATTTTCATTAGTTGAAACATTCTTGTACTCAAACATGAAACTTTATAGCTATTGATAAGATACATACCACCAACCCTTGAACCCTTCATAATTACACTATTATCCTTTTGGATGTAAGCAAAAGCTGACTTGAACCTTATATCATAACCCCTTTTGTCCAACATAGACACTGATATAAGGTTCCTACTAACATTGGGCGCAAGTAACACATTCTTAAGGATCAAGACTGACTTCTCACACTTAACTTTGTAAGTTATTTCTATTAGGACATCACAATATGTTGTTTTTCATGTAAATATGATGCTCATCTAGTACCTTTTCATTGATCTTTGAGAAGTTTATCTTTGTCTCTTGCGATGTGATTAGTTGCCTCAGAATTGATCCACCATTACTCCTTTGAATCTTCAAGTAGCTTCGCTTCAGGAATGATAATAAATGTCTCTTTATGTTTGCCCTTTTGCTTGTTTGGACACTTTTCTTTGAAATACCCTCTTTGTCCATTAGGGAAAAACGCCCCTTGTTCTTATTGTTGAACTTTCTAAATCTAAATCATTGTTTTCCATTCTTCTTTCAATGTCTTCGTTTCTTGTGTTGCATTTTTGATTTTAATCCAAATGCTTCGATGATCAATAAATTTTCACTATTAGTATCTTTTATCTTTATATTCTTTCATTCATCCTCGAGTGCTAATAATATTGGTAATGTGTCATAGTTATGTTCTTTCCTCCATAGGTCAATGAAGTAACCACATGATCCCAAGAGTTTGGCAAGCCATTGAGGATCGTGGTCACTTGTATCTTGTTAGAAACTAGGTGGCCAACAGATGATAAAAATCATTTGTAAGTATTTCATACGGAATACATAATCCACCAGTTTATCGCCCTCGGACATATGCATCCCACTAAACTTGTCTAAAGGCAATTGTACATGCGTATCAAACACAGGACTATATTTAGTATTGACTGCATCCATAATTTCCTTAGCAGTTTTGAA